ACCTCTGAGGTAGAGAAAAGTCAATGTTGTATGTCAATTATATAATGGAGTATTTATTAATATCCCTATTTTTTTTCAAAGATATATTTCCATAAATTAAACAAAATAGAGAAAAGTTTCCCACATTTGAACAATTTATACTAAAAAGTGTGCATGCAAGAATTGGAAGTGCAAAAGCGAGGAGCACATGTTTGATATTAAATCCCGTCGAAATGCATTGACAAAAAAATATGGGATAAACTACCAAAATATAGTAAAGTTTACCGTTTTTCTGGCTCTTAGGAATACCAAAAAGCACGGTAATTTTTACCGATTTGCTTAGGTAATGATTTTGTAAAAATTAACAATAAAATATTGTTTTAAATGCGTGGTAAAATTTGGACATTTTATCATTATACCTTATAGAGCATGGCATAAAAACCATTTAATCTGATAAATTTAGTTTTCAGTTTTATATTTTTACTAAATATGTGATAATAAGAACTATAATTTTGATAGGAAGAATTTCTGGTAAGTCGTTGTCATATGAGCGAAACTATTACCAAATAAATGGTTTAAATGCAGTATATTTTGGTTTTATTACGAGAATTATAAGTACTCTCAGTTAACTATAGAATTTTTGCCGCTCTATAAACATTGTACATTTTACAAAAAGTACATTGTATCCAAAGTACAAATTGTATCCTTTTCTTTAATATCATCACATTAAATTCAAAACATACTATAAGAATCCATTAAACATATTTTTAATATAACGATAAATTATTTAACTTTGAAAATTACAAAAAAATAAATATATACGTCATTTTTTAAATTTAAAATTCTGAATCAAACTTCGAAATGTTTTATCAAATGTTGTTTTTGTAGTACGTAATAAAGTTTTTAAGGCTAATGTGGCATCATAAAGAAATTATTTTTAAAATTCCGACTCTATATATTTTTTAATTTAAATTTTTTACTTGGGATCACTTCTTTTTTTTGTATCTATAATTTAGCAAATGAATAGAAAAGGATGTTTTTCGTTAGCGGAAAAAAAAATGCGAAAAGCATTTGTTAACGTCCGAACCCTTTTTTTAATTTTTTAGAAAGCTTAATAAATTGTCATTTATTTCTTTGATGCTATTTCAGGATGGTATAATTTCTTATTTTTACTAAACCGAATTGTTTCTCTTTTTTAATACCTTCGCAAACATTTTAGGAAAAGCATTTTACACACAAAAGTATCTGAAATTTACAGGATTCCTCAACAAGCTTAAGAGAAAGGGGGAAGAAAAAAAATCTGATGAAAGAAATATCAGAGCTTCGAAAGAAAAAAAATGTCATGTGCATCAAAGAATGAAAAAAGAGAAAAACACCGTGAATTTACTTCTGAAAAAGTGAAAACTAAAGACATAAAAAAAAAGATTAAAAAAAATCACCGGCAGAGATATGCCAATTAATTACATTTCTTTGTTTTTGACATCCTGCGGTAGCAGATTATTGTAAGCAGCATCCCCCCCCACACTAAAAATTTGTTTTTTCTTTCATTTCTTTTGTTATTATTCCCTTTTTTTTTTGGAGCCAGCAACTTCCTTTACTAAAGACCAAGAATCGAACTTGTCTATTGGAATTAATTAAAACGTCTGGAATCATTTATTTATTTTATTTTTTTATTTTAGTTCCCCCCCCCCTCTATCATCCCCGTCTTTTTTATCATCGTCACACATTCAACCTGATTTGATATATTTATCCAACGTGCGTTAAAAGGAGGGTATTTTTACGCAGCAGTCGGTAAGTACCCTATCCAGTTTTCCCTGGTCTCATCACACAAAAGATCCACCGATGGACGCGTGTTCATATAAACATGGGGATGAGGTTAAAAAAAATAAAAAAGTTGTAGATGTTTTTGAATAGAATAGAGACGTAAAGATATTAAACGAACGAATAACGAGAAAAAAATATTAATTAATTTCAACTTCTCTACCGCTTTATGTTGGTATGATTGAAACGCTATAAGAAAGAATTATCATTGAAAACAAAGACCAAAGAATTGAAGAGGGTTGCTATTATCAAAACGTTATGTGCAGGCATGTGTAGATGCGCAATCAATTTTTTTCGTGCCATGGGGAGGGGCAAGAGTGCTTAAATACCAAAAGTAAAGCGCAATTATATCAAGGGGTGTGGCAGGGAATTAAGATACTAGAATAAAAAAATAAAAAAAAGAATTATTAAAAACATCTCAATGTTCGTATGCCAATAATCAGAGTTAAAAGAACTTAAGAAAAATATTAAGGGATTAAATTTTTGCGCTAATACTGACAGTCTGTCAGCTAAAGCGCTTATTGGGCGGAAATAGTTTTTCAAGGGTTGTTTATTTTCTTTTCCTTTTGAGATGAATCCCTTTTGCCGAAAATGAATGCATTTTTTTTTTCACATCTAAAAATTTTTTTAATTGTTTATTCTATTTACCTGTCTTTCGTTTTATTTCGTTTGTTAAGAAGAAATAGCTTAAAATTTATTTATTTTTTATATTTCTAATCCAAGTCAAGATTATCACATATCAAACAAAAAAAATTAATTAAACGAGAAGAATGTTTTGTTTTTAAAGACTTGAAATAATAAAAAAAAAGTTTTAGAGAGTACTTAGACATAATTCTTTTTGAAAATACAGATGATATACTAATCTATACCACAAATATCTTTTCAGAATAAGAAATAAAATAATTTTTTTGTCAGACTTATAACTATATATTAAGTAGTTTTTTTCATACAAAATATGAAATTATTATTTTCTTTTAAGAAATTATATTAAATAAGTTTAATTAAAAAAATTTATTAATTCGTTAGCTCAATATAAGATGTTTATAGATTTTTTTTTCTCCTTCTTTTAAGCAAAATATAGTAGCGTCAAAAAAAGAGTGAAAAAGAAAATTCAAATTAAATGATAGTTAACTCTTAATTTTCATTAAAAAGAGAAAAAAGAAGCTAAGAATTTAAAAACGAAATTTTTTTGCATATTTTTGCTGTTTTATGCATTTAATTCTTATTAAAATTAATAAATAGAGTTAAAACCTAGAGGTTATTCCAGCTGGAATGAACTGTTCAGTACATTTTCAGAAGTTGTTTAGTTTAAAAAAATACCGATATATTTCAAGTGGATTGAAATTTTTAAGGAAAATTGACAAATGTGTTTATATTATTGTATGAATTATCGCTCACCGTGAATAATTATGAAACAGATAATCCTTCTGAAGTTGAATTTACTATGCAAAAGGATTCAGTCCGATCCATTTTTTTATCATTCTACTATTACTCGATCCTATTATTTACTGTTTACTGAAATTTTATGTTTAGTTTTAGTATTTGTTTTTATTCTATTTGATAAAAACATTTGTCTTAAACTGTCATAAAAAAGTTCTTGTATTTTCCACTAAATGCTTATATTTTTTATAAATACATTCCTATATACATAAAAATAAGGCAAAACTGATTACCGGTTCTTGTTTTTCCACTGAGTAAATAAACTACATGATATGATTCAGCTTTCTCACAATAAGATTCAGATTTATTTGGTTTGTCATTTGAATAAAATTAATAAAATTCATAAAGGTATTATTTACCTCTAAAATATCCCTAGTTCAAAGGCATTTATTCATTAAAAATATAAAATATTTATATATAGAAGTATTGTTTTTATGCTTAGTATTTTCTGATATTACTCGTATTCATTTATGATTTTTATTGTTATTCTAATTAAGGCTAAAAGCGATGTTTCTTTTTTATAAAGCAGCCGTATGATGTTGCCTTATTATACGCAGTTAATATAAAAACACATTTTAATCAGTATCTAACTTATTAATAGTTTCAAAATTATTAAACGGTAAATAAATTATATTTACTTTCATTATAAGTTTTGCGTAAAATTGTGCTAAGTCAAGATATGTAAATAAAATAATGAACAAAAAATAATAAAATATTATTAGGAATTGACTTTTTGCACTAATCTTTGTATAGCGAAAAACGTTTAACAATTTTTTATAGTAAACAAAGCTTAAATACCGATTTAAAATAGAAATTCTGGGAAGAAGATGCAATGGTAACCGAGGAATTTGATCAGGTATAAATTTTGATTCCAATAAATTGGACGCTTAACCTGTTTAACGAAATATATGTCAATATAATAAAAAAAATGTGATATTTTAATTTAATGCTTTGTTATTCTGATGTAAAATCAGTGCACGAATCAAAATAAAATTGATTGCGTAGTAATCGTTGGAGTGTGCACTGAAAAATATTATGCTCAAAATGAACAAAAATAGTAAAATGTATCTTGTTGGCAATGTCAAGAAGCTTGGTAATTTTTACCGAAGCGCTGTGGTAATGATTTCAGTAAAATTATCAATTAAATATAGTTTTATAAAATGAGGTAAATGTGGTAAAATTTAGAAATTTTTCATGATATCCTAAAGCAGAGCATAAAAACCATTTATTTAATTACCTTTATTTTTCAGTTTTTTTACTAAATATGTGGTAATAAGTTTGAAAAGCAGACTTTCCGGTAAATTGTTACCATAGGAATGGAAAAACTACCAAATGAATGGTTTAAATGCAGTCTATTTTGTTTTTCATGATCAGTATTAGAGTTATTATTTTTTTTAAATCGGAAATCCGATTGTCATACAGTACAGTAATTTTACCAGAATTTTCTCTGTGTGGTGCAGGAGAACGGGGGTACTTAATACAACATAAAATTTTTTAAACATGTATATTAATTTTAATAGCATCAAAGTGTTCTTCATTATTCTTTTTTAATTTTTAAGTAGAATGGAAATAAGCCATAACTTAAAAGCATTTTCTACAAATAAAGTTTTTTTAAAAAGTAAAATAACAATATGTATACTATAGTCAATTATTAACGAATACTATAGCTCAGTGAAAGCGAAACATAAGCCTCACTACGTCTAATAAAATAACTACAAGCAAGAAACTACGTATTATAATCTAATGTATGTAAGACCTACTTGTCAATGGGACCGTATATTGATGATGTGGCTGCCAGCTCATGATGCGGGATGTCTCGGCCAGCACTAAAACATCGCCTACAGTAGAAAAAAGAAAGAAAACGGAAAGCAGCAGATCAGTGAAGCAGCAGGCAAATAACACAAACAAAATCATAAAAAGTTTTCACATAAACAGAGAAACAAAATAAAAATCAAAAATTAAAAATACTACATGCAAACAAATGCTAGTTTAAGTTCTTCCCATCCTCATCAACGATAATAATAAAGTGACTATCTACACATTGTCAGACATTCTGGTGCATGTTGAGCTGTATCGAATTTGCTACAGCCTTCATAGGGTGAAGAATCCTAAAACTTAATAACTCGATTTTAGGTTGAAGTTTGAACAAAAACATGGCTCAATCTAATCCTTTAATAAGATAGCAGCTAGTATGCATTGCATTAGAGTTCATAATAACAATTTTATTTTCATGATACCATCGTTGAACCTTGATTTTTATTAGAGTGTAATAATGAAATATCATATGCCATTAAATCGCTTAATTAATCATGAGTAATTAGCAGATTTTCGGGAGTACAGAGTTAACTCTGCGAATGGTAAGTCTTAAATTTGATAATTAATTACTATTAGTTACTACAGTGATTCAAAATATGGGTTAAGCTATTAGTATTGATATCATTTAAATTTAAGTCATTAGCATTACAAAATGCCTCGTAATTTCAGAAGTTCATTAGCGTAATTAAACTGTTATAAGCAAGCTTTTAACAAACAGGAATTTTTATATGTGCTCAATCGCAATCACACCACACATTATCGTGCAAATCGACTGCTTAACGTTGCGTCAAGTTGTTCGATACTATCGAACAAAACTTGATTTGATTATACGATTATATAATTCAACATGAACCAAACATAATTCCTGTTAACACCTTATTAAGATTGCATCACTTTTAACAATATTATGGTTCGTGGTAATAATATTATAGTTCAAGATCACTAAATTTAATGGCTAGTAATTTATGATTAATTATGATTGTGACCAGTAATTACGTTTCATCGCGCAAAACTTTGTATATTTAATTTATTACGTTTACAATTTTTAATATGTTACATTTTAGAACTTTCCAATAGTTCTAATACAGTGTTAATTTAAACATATCTCAGTAGTTGTCATAAAAGCAACATTGTTCAAATATTCCAGAAAGCAATTTTGATTAGGTGTATAATATAGATTCCATTAAATATGATTTTTCTTATTGCGTATTTCATGTTCAATTAAATGAGGCGGTGGAAAGAACTTGAAGCAGCCATTCACAAAACATTCCATCATACATTCTATTCAAAAATGCATATTATTATATTTATCTATAAAGATCAGACTTGAAGAGAAAACAAACGATTTCCATGCCAAAAAATCTAGATCACAACGCACAGTGCACATGCGTAGAAGCTCATGCGCTGGCTTACTAGACATACACTTTCTTTTCTTTTCTAATTTTTTTTATCTTTTTTTTTTAATTCTGATATACTTTATCGCTTTAATAAAAATGAAAACAGTCTTCAAAGTTTTTAAAATTATTGTATGTTTCAAATAATTACTTTTAGTCAATACTACCAAATTATCAGCGAGGTAAATTATGAAAAATAAAATCTTAGATAAATTGTTCATTTTCTTCAAAATTATTTGAGAAAAATAATAAAAATTTCGCATAAATAGAGATAAAACATAAAAAATAATAACAACCTTTTATAACAAGCATTTATTTTAACTTTACTGCTTTGAAAAAAATCTTAACAAAACTCTTTTGTTATTTTCAAGGCAGGATGAATTACCCACTTAATACATCTGTTGATTTTAATAAATTTTAAAATCTAAAGTTATAACTTTATGCATATAAAATAAGTCGAAATGTCCACAAATAAGAAATGAAAATATAATTTCGTATGAAGTAGTGACTTACTAGACTGAAATAAAAAGCGGACAGTGGACAAGCCTCTTTTACAATAAGCAGAAGTAAAATCAGGCTGGTTGAGTGATTTTTCGCATGTTTTTAGATCAGCATTAAAAATGCAAACTGATTAAAATAAGCAAAACAATACTAGTCTGAATAGAAATACTGTAGTGTTTTCTAATTAGTCAAATGTATTATAAAATGGTGGCGACATATTTAAAAGGCTAGATTCTGAAATTGTCAACAATAGTGTAAAGTTGCTTAAATTTTAACACTTTTCACAATTAAATTTTTATCAGAGAGAAATTACTGATAACTACATTTGAAAAGTTTTAAAATTGAATACAGTTATTTAGCTAATAGTAATTTTATTTTATTTTTTTAATAATAATATTTTTGCATAATTGTTTTTGCAAGTTTTAAATTTTGAAACTGGTTGCATAATTTGTACCACCTACTTCCTAAATCATACCAACCATTAAAAATATTGATTATTTATGGTTAAGTGTATAAGTATACCATAAGCAACTCAAAGCAATTGCTTAATAGCAAAATATGAAAGGTGATATTATTTTAAGCTGCTACAATTACTGTAACAGGAGCCCTATAAAAATATGAACTACACTTTCCGACACGACTTGCAATCGCTTTTAATTTCTATTATTCGTTTAATTATTAGTAAATCTCAGTTTTATATAGCATTAACGGGCGTGGTATTATTTGGCAATCTAATATCATCATTTTTAAACACAATCCGAATGCCTTAATTAACAAACTTGTCCTGGCTTGATCCAATATTTCTGAAGAAAACCAATAAACTTATTTTCTTTTCTATTGCAGCTCTTTTTTCAAGTCGACCCGTCACGAAATTTTTTCAGTCAAAAGACTATGGAAGCACATAAGTACTTTTTTCCCTGCTAAAAAGAAGGGAACAATGAAGAAAAAGAATCCATCCATCTTCCGTTGCCTCCCCTTGTCTTAGCATGTGATAATTTTGTATTTGTTGTAAACTACAATTATTTTATTTGTATTCACAACCACTTTCAAACTGTTTTCTATAAAGCATAATGCGTTTACTACAAAGAAAAGTCACACCTGCATTCACTTCATTATTTTCAAATAACAAAAATATCATTTATTATACTAATAACTTTTTTTTCATAAAAAAAAGACCTTTCATGAAAAAAGAAACTTTTTTTTATAATTTTTTTTTGAAAGTTTTCTTAACAGTTTATATTTAGAAATTAATAAAAACATTTAGTCGACAAAGAGTTATAAGAAATTAACAAATGTTAATTTGCTAAATAAATTTTTTGTATAGAAATTAGTGATATGAGCTTGTAAATTAATTACGTCTTTAATATCATATGGACTTAAAATAGGAGTCATATGTGATGTAGTATTTTTATCAAAATCTAACTTTTAAAAAATACTAATTTGATTTTTAGGAAAAATTTTTATACGTTTCAATATTAAAAAAAGGTGCTCATAAGATTTTTAACTAAAATTTGATTCTAATGTAGAGAAAAAAATTTTTTTATATACTATAGTAATCCGTTGGCTTGTTGATAAATTGGAGCCATATTAATTCCTTTAAAATATATAAATATATTTATGTGTGAGACTATTTATTGAAAAAAAAGAGACTTTTCAAGCTTCCAACAGTACTCTCAAATGAAAAATGAATGACACCATGAAATTCTAGGCCAAAATGAAAAAAACATGTAGAAAGAAAATTACATCAAGGCCAAAATGAAAATAACAGAAAATGAAAATGATAAACACCTTACGGTGAATTGTATACAACTAATTGTAATCTTTATCTTAATTTTTCTTCTTTCAGATTCGTTTATGGTAGTAAAATCCATCTTTACTTTTGAATTCTATAGACTTAAAATTGGAGAAATACGTGATGTAATATTTTTTTCAAAATTTATCTTTTAAAAGTTATGAAAAAAATATAATTTGATTCTTTAGAACAATTTATATGCGTTACAATATTAAAAAATAAATTCTTACAAGATTTTTAACTAAGTTTTAAACTCTAAAATAGAGAAAAGAATCCTATACGGAGCTATATATTAATTCTTCTAAAATATACTAATATTTATGAGTTAAACTATTTTAGAAAAAGATTTTTAAAGTTTTCCACAGTACTGTCAAAGAAAAATGAATGACACCACGAATTTCAAGGCCAAAATTAAAATAACACAAAATGAAAATAATAAACACCTTGCAATGAATTGTATACAACTAATTGCAATCTTTATCTTAATTCAGATTCGGGAGTTTATTTCCGTTATGAAGCTGTACTTCAAAATACAAATCGTTCTTCTCTAAATACAAAAGAGAAGTAAAATCCATATTTACTTTTGAATTCCAAATCGGGAAAAGAGCTTCCGGAATGCCCTCTTCGAACACCCTCTCATAAATCCATTTGTCATCGCCGCGACCTCCTCAAACGATTAAACAGTTGTACTCAAATATTCCCGCTGTTTTTGGCTAATCAGCATCCCAGACTAATTAATGACGTCACGATCCTTGACGAGTGAGGTTTGCAAGTCACTGTTTGGTTTGTAGGAAAAGTTTTGTTTCATAAACAGATAATTTAACCGTAAAAATGTTTCCCATCTGCTACAGGAAACAAACTATTTCCTGCTCTTCGGTAATTTTAATCGCGATTTTTGGAGTAAATGCTCGAAGTTCCATCAATGCTGTGTCTTGGGTACTAAGTGAAAGGAGGTCAGAAGTCCAGTTCCTGGCAGCGGAAACGAAATAAAGGAACGCAATTGAAATTGTAATGAGTTACCAAAAATTGAAGTATTGGTAAGCTCGAAAGGTTATCTTTAGAAATTTTCCATGTTCATAGTCAAATTTCGATATTAAATCCTTCTACAACTTGGTGCATTCCCTGGAATTGAAATGAGTTACCAAACACCATAAAGGTTGAAACCAGTATTTATAAACCATAAAGGTTGTCGTTAAAAAATTTCCTTATGCATAGCCCATAATTTCGCCATAGTCTACATTTTCTTCCAGCTCTGGCACTGCACACGTCCTTTGATTAGGGTTAAAATTACGCGGCTTTCTTACAATAGCCGTTGAAAGATAGAGCCCTAAAAAGG